TTAAAATTTTGATTGCATGCCTTCATTTTTTTTAGTTCTCGAAACCCCAACAAATTAAATAAATCCTAAAACTGAAAATAAAATCAAAATTTTCTCAAGAATAAACTCAATTAAAATCTGCATTATATCTACAAAATCTCATCTAATTAATAACAAAAAAAAGAACAAAAAAACAAAAAACCGTCACATAAACACATAAGATCAAACGGAGTTAGAAGCAACGGCAGGCAACTCCGGCGGCGTGACGGCGAGGAAAACCAGCACCGCCATGATCGCGACGGGGACGAGGAGGAGGAGCGGCGACGGCGGCGGCAGCGGCGGAAGGACGAGCGGCAGAAGCAAGAGCATCGCCGTGAAGCAGACCATAAGGAGTATCTTCTGTGCCGAGTTTCTGAGCATCGGGACGCCCTTCAACGGCATATTCCGGCGATGATCTCGGTGTCGGTGGGCGATGGCGGCGGAGGCCGTGGCGACTGTCGGATCATCAAACGACAGCCTCTCTTCAATTCTGTACATCATTTTCAGAAAGTGTGTGGTGTGGGTGTGTATATATATATACGGGATTATATATATGTACCCCACTATATATATAGGTGTATTTATGTGATTTGAATTTGTGAGAATGTGAAGTGACAAGAAGTAAATGAGGTGTAGGGTATTTTGGACATTTCAGTTCATAGGATAGACAAGTTAAAACTCAAGCGTGGTTGGATATAAATGAATCCGCATAATTTTTTTAACAAGAGTTAATTTTAAAAAAGTTAATATAATTAGTTATTAATAAAATTTTAAATTTATATTTAAATAATATTTAAAATAAAATAATTAAAATTAATTTAATGTAAAAGTATAAAAAATATAATGTGATGTAATAATTAATTAAAAGTATGTGAGTGAATGAATAATGAATTAAAGTTGATGTGATGTGTAAAAAAAATTAGTTGATATTATTTAATTATATTGATAATATTGAAGATAGTGAGATTGAGTTAAAGTTAAGTTAAATTTTGAGTATGAATTAATTTAATTTGAGTAAATTCTTTTATATATAAAACAAACACCCCCATAGTGTTTGGTAATCATTACACAAGTCGGACCATCGTATTTTTTTATGAAAAAAATTGTATACTATAATTTATAATGCTTTTGTTTGTGTTGTTTTTTAAAATACAATATTTCAATTTGAAAATATACTTAATTGTTGTGTAGGCCTAATATTGGCCATACTAATTAAAAAAAGTGTGTAATTAGTTTATATCCCAATTCTTATAGACTTATAGTTCAAGTTGGAGAAATTTGGCTCAAGATGTCATAATTAACAAAATTATTATATCATATGCCAACATTATGATTGTCTTTTTTACCATTCTAATAAATAATCACTAGCACAATTAAAATATTCCCTATTCAAATAGTTGAAGTGAGTCCCCTAAAATTGTAAATTTTATATGTTTGATATTTACAAATCTTTTAAAATTTAAGAATCAAGTTTTGAAACTCTTGATGTATTCATTTATGGTTTTAAAAAAAATTATAAAATTATGAGGTATTTAATTTATTGAGATTTTGAATTTTTGATTTGTTATGACTTTTTAAAGTTTCAAAATAAAAAATCATATATGAAATCTCACTCAAAATATAAGTTCTAAACTTAAGTTTCCATATGATTCCTAGAAAATTGATTTTTTTTTTAAAAAAAGAAAAATCTCAAAATATCATTCAAAGCCCCAAATAAATACGCTCACTTACAATAAGTAATTAAAAAAAATGTCAAAAGTATTATATTTTATAGAATATGCATTTATTTAAAAAAATATGACGTATCTACTTACCTAACATCTTAGAACGTTTTCATACAAAAAAACATATTTCTGTACATATGAGAAAAAATAAAATAAGATTCTTTTCAATTTTGCATAACTAAAAAATTACATTTTAAAAAAATAAAATTACAAACAACAAGGTAGTAGTAATATTCTCCACTTTGTTCTTTCTATTATGTCAAATGTAATTATTATGTATGCTGATTGCTGAAAGTAATTAATGAAATGGTCGATTGACGAAAAT